GGATGTGTGCAGACTTTCTCTTTTGCGCGTGCAACATTTAACTAGCTTGCTCCCTTGATGCCCACCCTCAGTGCTCGCTAAATGCCAACGGCTCGCTTGCTCAACACAACCCATCGTTACAATGTGCCATAATTCCAGCCAATCAGAGACCGAGGCTGCTCAATTCTGATTGGCTGCCTTGACAACCAATCACAACATTTCTTGCTCGACAGCAGAAGAGGAAAAATACAGTGCATGCATAATTATTATGCAAGTTGATATTCTGATCATATTTTTTTCCAAGTACATTTTACCAATAATTATAACTACTATTAATCTTGTATTTAATCACTTAGAATATATATTATTGTTCATGAAGGCTGGAAGGGAAAAACGCCTTATATTCAGGTGTGCATAATTATTAAACAGGTCATCTTCTACAGATAAAATCTCGAGATGGACTAAAAATGATCTCCCAAAACTTACTGCCAGATTCTGGAAGATAAATTCTTCAAACAGTGGTACAAGAGGATGTGGTGCTCGTCCTTCAAGGGTCACTCTCAACTTATCTGTCTATAAAGCCTATATACAGTGGGTACGGAAAGTATTCAGACCCCCTTAAATTTTTCACAATTTGTTATATTGCAGCCATTTGCTAAAATCATTTAAGTTAATTTTTTTTCCTCAATGTACACACAGCACCCCATATTGACAGAAAAACACAGAATTGTTGACATTTTTGCAGATTTATTAAAAAAGAAAAACTGAAATATCACATGGTCCTAAGTATTCAGACCCTTTGCTGTGACACTCATATATTTAACTCAGGGGCTGTCCATTTCTTCTGATCATCCTGGAGATGGTTCTACACCTTCATTTGAGTCCAGCTGTATTTGATTAGAAAAATTTAAGGGGGTCTGAAGACTTTCCGTACCCACTGTATATATATATATAAATCAGTCTTCAAGTATTTGACTACACTTCAGTATGTTATTCTTATTAAGTAGTGGTCATTTTTTAGGATTCTATACTTAACCTAAGTCTCGGAGAACCTGACACCTTGTACTTCTTGAGACTCCAGGTAGGCTGCAGTTCTGGAAGATGGTGGCACTGGAGACTAAATGGTTCCTGGTGATTTCACACCTAATTCTTCACCTTAATTCCTAATTCCTTTGCAGATAACATGCATTTTTTCTTCTCCACATGTTTTTGACTGACCCTGCTGACCCACTGAGCATTTTGCTGTCCAATGGTTATGCACTCACTTTGCAATTTCTAGTATTTTATTAGTTTTGAATATTTCTCATGGGCATTTAATAATTTTTTACTTTCAGTCTGAGTTAAATCTCTTTTTTGGCTCATTTTATCTGTAAAAGGAAATCTGCTTAATAATTATGCACACCTGAATACTTCAGCCTTCAGCCTTCATGAATAATTATATATAAATTATTAAATACAAGATTAATAGTAATTATTAAGATCGATGTCGTTTGGAATTGGTAAAATGTGCTTGGAAAAATTATGATCAGAATATCAACTTGCATAATAATTATGCATGCACTGTATTTTTCCTGCTGTCGTGGTAATGCAAGAAATTTTGTGAATGGTTGTCAAGGCAGCCAATCAGAATTTAGCAGCCTCGTCTCTGATTGGCTGGAATTATGGCATATTGTAATGCTGGGTTGTGTTGAGCAAGCGAGCCGTTGGCATTTAGAGAGCACTGAGGGCGGGCATCAGGTGAGCAAGCTAGTGAAACGTTGCACGCGCAAAAGAGAAGGTCTGCACACATCCAAAAACGTATTTTAAATGCAAAATTGATTTTCGTGCGTTCGAAATACTTTCTTCTTTGCGAGACAAATATTTTCTCCACAAAACTCAGTTCGCGTGCGTGCAAAATGCACTTTTGCGTGCTCAAAATATGATCTTTCGCGCGCAGAATTTCGGCAGAAATGTAATTCCATAATATTGACGCCATCCTTAACAAAACCGGAGCAGACGGAACTTGCTGCTTTGGCAGTACTGAAACACTGTCTAAGCTGTTTGCCAATCACAACGCACTGGGACAGCTAACCAATCACATCACATTTAGTTTTTCATAAGGCGGGCCTTCATCAAACCTGGAACTAATCGAGCCGTTTGTGCCAGGATGGGGAGAAAGGTATTGTAATAATGTAAATGATGTAAAAAATAATGCGTTTTTCGAACCACAAAGCATGAGAGCATGTTCTAGAACACCCCCAATACAAATTCAAGACATTGTAAAAGAGCATAATAGGACCCCTTTAAAAATGAAGAGTCCAAGAGAAAAGTTTATTAAGAACCAGAATCTAAAATCATATTTAGATGTTTAATACTTCTTGAGTTACAGGCACGCAAACTTTGGAAAAATAATATTTATGGCACTCAGGCAGGTATTTTCTATACAATTGTTTTGATAGAGAGAAACAAAATACATTTCTAGTTTCAACATTATTTGTTCTTCAGACCTTCCTCTTTAAAAGAAAAAAGTAACAGCTGAATGCAAAGTGATCCACACTTGGTTTTTGACCACTGAAAATGTATCAAATTTAACAATTTACTCCTGGAGCCATATTTAGATATCTCTAATATCTCTGGAACTGAACAAAATAGGGCCTTAAAAATGAAGATTCCAAAAGGAAAGTTTAACACCTGAAATTTAAAAGAGCATTAATATATCTGTAATACTTCTTGAGTTACAGACATGAAAACTTTGGAGAAAAAAAACACAGGCACATAATGCAACAAAGATGACTTAAGTCAACAGATTTTACTAACAGACCTACCTATCTCTGGGGAAAAATAACATAATGAAGCTGGCATCTTTCTGAAGTAATTTTTACCCCCCTGTAATTTGGCTCCGGATCTCGGGTGAAAATTGTCATTTTGACCCCACTCTACAAAATAGTGGATTACTCAGTAAATATACATCTGTGACATTTAATATCTTTGCTTCCATCACCTTTCCCCTCCACTTTACAGCTTACCAAACCCACTTATTTCAAATTTTTTTCAAAACTGCAGTGAAAAATATCCATACTGACATAGGGGGTTTCATGACCATTTAGCAGAGACAAGAACGGGGCAATTAGGTCCTATGACAAACCTTGTCCCTTACGTGACTCATGGCTGGAGGTAGCAAATAAACAAGCATAAGGCTTTATGTAAGCATCTATACTCAAGAAAAACTGTTATCAGCTCGTTCACGACTGTTGCATAATGACTTTGTTCGGGTGCATACTTACACATAAGCTGACGCTGTTTGTTTACAAGTGAGAGTGAAGACTCGTGTGCAGACCTTCACCAGCAGTACCAACGTCTTAAACTCACAACTTAAAAGTTACAATGGCTGATGATTTCGATGTGAAAGAGGATGACATAGAATTTTATGCTGTGAGGTTTTTTTATGCTGTGAATTTTTACGTTGTGAGCTTTAAAGTTTGGTACTGCTGGTCAAGGTCTGCACATGAGTCCTTACTCTCTGCTGGAAGCAAACCGTGTCAGCTTACATGTGAGTATGTGCCCACACATACGTCATTATGTGATGGGAAGTTTCACCTAAAAATCTTCTTTACTGTTCTCTGAAGAAAAAAAGACCTACATCTTGAATGGCCTGAGGGCAAGTAAATTAAAGCTGCAGTCCGTAAGTTTTGCCTTTTTGTCGCCATCTCTGTTTGAAAACCTGGAATTGCAGCTGTGTGTGGAATTATCTAGCTTGCGTGGGTTGTGAGTCGGCACGGCTCCAGCGCGGATGAATCTAATGTTCTGAAGAGTATGTGTGGAAGTCAGTCACCGGTGATGAATGGATTTTTTCTGTACTTCGCAATCACAGATTCTAGCCTACTTCTTGGAATATGACCCAAATAAGAATTTTCACCAGATATTATCTTCTGAACAAGTAAGTAACAAGTCTGCCATGGTTGTTCTGACCAACTGAGGAAAAGAGCATTACCATAAATCTCGCTACCAATGGTGATTAAATCTAAAGCTCATATCACATCAGACCATTAAAATTATTATTATTGTCATACTTTATTCTCAAACGATTCATGTTAACAACATCAGCATTGGTGACTATGAGTATAGTGTGTATTAGCATGTAGATTTCAATTTCTGCACAGTCTAATCTAATTGTCATACTCTTCGAATTTCATATTAAGAAATTCTTTTAACACAAAAAGCAAATTATGCTTCCTTCGAACTGGTTTTCGTTAAAATACAAATCTTTGTAATCTCAGGCTATCTGTAATCAGAAGCACATTTATAACTGGAATATAATTTAATTTAATTCACATGTTTCATAAACACATAATCCTTTTTGGATTACAATCCGCCATCAAAATTATACATTTAATTATTCTGGCTGCTGTGAGAAAAGGCTATAAACGATCCGCCACCTGCAGGATCCTCACATGCGATAGCCTAGTAGCCGGGACAACTTCTTTATGTTTACAGACATGACGTAATGACGCAGCGGCATGCTCGAATTTCCCGCGAAAACCTACCCGTACCACTCAAATTAGAAAACATTATTATAAGCTAACCGTTGTGAATCGGGCTAAAGTATGGCAATAGTTTTGAACACTGGCTGGTTATGTACTTGCTCAAATATTGATTTCGGATCATTTTTAACCAAAAAAAAGTTACGGACTGCAGCTTTAACAGAACATTTTAATTTTTCGTTGAACCATCCCTTTAAGTTTGGATCGAAGTTTATGTTCCAGGTTTTTTTTAAATACTTTTTTGGAGATACCTACCTGTGATTTCTGAGTTTTTGGTTTTAAACTCCTGCATCTGGGTCATCGTTAATGTCTGTGTTGGTGTGTCATTACACATTTCATCCCGCACATAATGTAAACAAATGATTTTTGGTAGTACTACAGCACACCACGAGTGTATATTAGCAATTAGCATTTGTTGTTTGCTTTTGGGATATGATCTAATCTGGACCTGTGATGCGTGTCATCGGTTTTAACCAAATAGGCACTTTCTGTGTCACTTACAGAGCAAGGACCAATCCAGAAGTTCTCCTGCTGCACATGCTTCACACTCTCATAGATTCCTTTGTTTCTCAGTACCTAAAAGAGAGAGGAAAGAAAAGGGAACGAATAATGGGCAACCAAATATATTATAAACAGTTTTGTAATTGCTCCCACAATAGAAGCTATAACACAATACCAGAGCCGCCCTCACAGAGCATGACAGTGCTGCATAATGTCTGACATAATAGATGGAAAATAGATTATCATCATGGCTGTCTTAAACAGTGTAAAATTAACTGGGTGACTAAATGGGCTGTCGATTGCTTTCTGTCCCCTTATAACCTGTAATAATGTGACTGGTCTTTCCAGACCAGCAATTTAAAAAGTAATAGCTACCATGTGACAATATTACTTGTGAAAGCTGATTCAGTATAAACAATGCTTAAATCATAGATATACAGTGGGGCAAAAAAGTATTTAGTCAGCCACTAATTGTGCAAGTTCTCCCACTTAAAAAGATGAGAGAGGCCTGTAATTTTCATCATAGGTACTTAGCAAACTTGGTTATGACGACATTTTTTCTCAATAAATTAAGTGAGAACTATCTTTTGCTGAAATGTCTGATGTTTTCTCACAATATTATATATCATTTATAATAACCTTTCCTATAGTTGAGAGGACTCTTTTTGATATCTTACCAGTTGAGTGGTGGAATGTTGGGCAAAGCCTACAGGAGCAAATCCATATGTAATGCAGGACAGCAATGTTATGATAATATGCACAAAGGTAATCCAGTAGGTAAAATATGGCCTGACAAAAAGACAAATAATCATCAGAACGTTCTCTCAACAGTCTAAAAGCAACATCTAATTTTGACATGCTTCTGGTGGAGGAGCCTATCTGGTGTTCATAACTCACCGATGACTATGAAAATCTTCCAGTTGTTTCTGTACTTGGCTGCTAAGGCTGCGTCTATAGTGTCGGTTCAGCCAATTCCCCACCACACCCATACCATACTGACGCTTCTGCTTATCAAACGCAAAGTGCTTCACTTTGGAGGCAATTCGACCTCCACGACGAGAAGATTCTCTCTCAGAGGGGGTCACAGTTTTGGTGACATCCTTTTTTCCCCTGAAGACAAAGAAAAAAAAGGAATGGCAATATTAAAACAGATAAGTACTAAATATCTGCAAAAATGAAAAGCTACAGAATAGGCTACAGATCTGATTTCAAATTTCTGTGTTAAAGCATCAGGTTGGAAGATTTTCACAACTTACAAGTTGGGAAATGATATTCCCTCGCCCAAAGAAACATCTGCCAAATGACAAGAAGCTGATATAGGGGGTGACTCAAAAACATCATCTGCCATTGAATAAAGCTCCTCATGGACATCTACCTATGAAAGAGTGAAAGAGATACACACATTATATATACATATTCTGTTTTCAGATATATTGGCAGTGCAACTGCCTCTAACTTGAGCACTAGCAAAATTTTGGTGGAAAAGGAATGTGACACATTTACTGCCAACAGCTCACCAAAAGTAATTTGGTAACACTTTAGATTAGGAAACACAATTCACTATTAACTAGTTGCTTATTAGCATGCATATAGCATATTGACTGTTTATTAAAGGGGTCCTTATTGTGCTGTTTCACTTTTTGAATTTTAGTCAGTGTGTAGTGTGTATGTTTGGGCATTAAAAAGATCTTCAAATTTACGAATCTCAAAGTCCACTCCAAACGGAGATATTTCCTTTTTTTTTTAAATCCCTTTTCAAGAACTACAACGAATGACTCGTTTGGACTACAGCATTTGTTTTCCGGGCTTTATGATATCACAAAGCGGCTCATTAAAATATCATTACAAATAATTCCCGCCTACAGAAATTCAAATGGTTGGGGGGAGGGGAAGCTTTTCAAGAACTACAACGAATGACTCGTCTGGACAACAGCGATTGTTTTTTCGGGTTTTGTGATATCATTAAAATAATTCCCGCCTACGGAAATTCGAATGGTTGGGGGCATAGTTGCCAAGTCCAAAAATCCCAGGTCGCGGGTTGCGGTTTTTTGGGCTTATTTTAAAAAATATGGTTGCTTGTTAGGGAAATCTGACAAGCAACTTTGTTTCTTTACGTTCGCCGTATTCTCCAATGCATTGAATGACACTCTGTGTGCTCACAGTTAATAGCCAACCAGTGCAATAATATAAATGCTGCAGCATAATTTGCCAAATGTTCCGCCCCCTCCTCCCCCTCATTGGAGAAAATCACGTTAAAAAAGAAGGCACGTGACGCTGTAATCCAAGCGATGATAGAAGTAGACGTAGAGGAGTGGGATGACTTTCTTTTAGCCTATTTTTTTAATTTTTACAATGTTTTTGTAATGTATTCATTATCATGGGCTGTAATAAAAAACAAGTAGTCCTATACTAATAGTAAGAATAAATTTGAATAGCCTATATTTTAGTAGGCCATAAATATGTGGCTATGATACAGTTCCCCTTTCTGTAGCTTCTGTTTTTGCTTTTCAGATAAAAGAGTGGTTTCAGTTTAATATGTTCCAGGCTCATTTATTGGTAATAAATAATTGATAATAAATAATATTGATGATAATAAAAAAATAAAAAAATTGGGCTTGTTTTCGAAGCAGCGGTTGCTTAGTTATTTGTCTTGCGAGAGTTGGCAACAGTGGTTGGGGGGTGGGGAGGGGTGAGGTCGTGGTTAGAACGCTTGGTTGAGTGCATAGACGACGACAACGAAGAAGTGCTGCTGTAGCCTCAAGTTTTCGCAAGTTATTACACATGCACCTATCTGCATTACATGAATAATTATGCATGTAAATATGTATGTTACAATTATGAAAACTTTTTATAATAAATTGCTGACAATTATGTAATCGGCAGAATTTACACTTAAATTATGAGACTACAGTGTTTCCCATACACTGATTGCGAGTGTTTTTATATCACTGTATTTCTGAAGGAAACCGACTGTCTTCAGAAAATTGGATGTCATTTTCATTTAATCTTGCATGTAATGTCTGATAAAGCAGTGTTTTTTTGCTTTTTTGTGTACAGCCGTTACCGGGGAAACCTTGATCTCTACCACTCCAACAGCACCTCCTGCTGGCAGAGAATGAGTTTGCATCTATATGCCGCCTGGGAAACACTGGACTATGGTATAAATAAATTCAACTGTTTAACAGTTTCACTGCAATTCAGGTTATAATGTTAGAATTAAATAACAATAAAAATAATACATATGCACTTATCTTTACATAGTAAATGCAGTTATTTTTAAGCGTTTTTTTACATCCTATCTAAAACGTGATTTAGCCAAAAAACAACAACAAAGTTACCATTCTAATATGTCTTGCAATATCCGTGCGTGCAAAGGTTCTGCGCGATCCTCTTGTTCAATATTCTCTGGGTCTGAATCCGGCTCAAATTGATATGGCAATATTGACACCATCCTTAACTAAACCGGATCAGACGGAACTTGCTGCTTTGGCAAGGGGCGGGGCAGTACTGAAACACCGTCTAAGCTGTTTGCCAATCACAACGCACTGGGACAGCTAACCAATCACATCACATTTCGTTTTTCGGAAGGTGGGCCTTCATCAAACCCGGAACTAATCGATCCGTTTGTGCTAGTGATGGGAAGTTCGGCTCTTTTGGCTCGGCTCCCTTAGAAGAGCCGGCTCTTACGGCTCCCACATGGCTCTTTATTTAGTATCACTCTGAACCTTCTATTTTAGCCCAATTTAGCAATTGTGAATGGTTTGTGTGTTGGTAAGCAGTTTTCATAAAAGCTTTACTTTTATGCTTTTTTTTTTTGTTACAAAAAAAAAAATACACAGATACTATTATTTAACATTTTAATAAAACTTTAATTGAACACAGAACCACATCAGCAGCAGATTAGGAGTTTAAGTTAATTGTGAATATGAGTTTCCTTATCTAAAGTGTTACAAAGTATTTCTCTGCTAAATGTAAGCACTTGTGAAAAATAAGTAAACTTCGGCATACTTTTAAAAATTTATTAAAACAGTATTTACTATGGTAATAATATAGTAGAATATACTTAAATACAAACTGAATGTAATGATTACAAATATTTATTTGCAATTAAATGAAAATTTGTTATAGTTTAAATGTATATTAAATCCAGTTATTTGAACTCAAGTCCTTTTTAAGTGGGTCATTAAATCACTCTTAATTAAATCTAATCTTTATATGTAATTTCATAATTCTGTTGTTTTTGAAATATGGTTAAAGTGTACTGCCAAATTTACTGACAAGCATTTATGGTAACTCAAATATGTTTGAAGTTTGTGTCATGTATTTAAAATAGATTTGTAATTTCACATTTTTAATGGTTGCAATTTAGTACATTTTAAATATATTACCTTTAAATGTAATATTGAGTAATACAAAAATTATTCTTAGTTAAAATTACAATTACAATCAAGCACTTTACATGTGCTTTACCATGTTAATCAACATATCAAAATAAGTGTAACAACAAATGTTATTGAAACATAGATTTAAAATGTACTTTCAGGTAAACTAATTTGATATTACAAAGTGCACTTTTTAAAAAGAAAGAAAACGGTCATGAAAGTGTACACTTGCGTACCCTTTTATTTCAGTAATATTATATTATCTGCAAGTGCAGTTTAAAAAATATATATAATTAAGATTTGAAGTACACTACAAGGGTGCTTTCAGTACAATTAAGCACACTTCTCTTTCATTAGGGAGTGGAAAGTTTGGAGACAAAGACAGATAAATATACGCACCTTGCTAAAAAAAACTGAATCAGAGGTGTCTGCTGTATCCACAGTGTCGTCTTCGAGCCAGCTGGGCCGAGCAAAACTCCTCCTCTGAAATCCACGTCCACTCTGAGTGCCCTGTAGACCCTGTCGAACCTATAGTACCAGAACATGTCAGATTAGTACCACATGACACAACCTTACATATTCCAATAAAAATATAAGGAACAAACACACCTTAAGAAGGTTGGACGCAGCACGGAGGCTCATACGAGCCACCGATTCTCTTTTTCTCCGTGGCAAACGTGTGTAACCAGAGCGCTGGCTGGTGAACGAGCAGAGAGAGGTCACTCCTGGGGTCAAAGGAGGATATGCTGTATGGGGTGTCCTCGGTCGCTCGGACTCCTCATAACGAAACTGTCGCCCACGAGCCAAAGGATCAACAATCTTAAGCGAGACAGAGAGCAAGACAGGCTATGAATCAGTAGTGGTGCCACTAATTAAAAAAAAAGACACTAATTAAAAAAAAAAGACATACACATCCTAAGTCTTACGTAAATGTTATAATTAACTGACAAAATGTACTTAATATCTTAATAAAGGATTCAGTTGAACGAATGGATGATTTCATCATAGAAAGTTCTATACACTAAATAAATACAGGCTACTGATCAGAGCTGACTACTATAACAGTTATTAGTCATGAAAATACATACAAAACACAAAGCAAGTCATACTATCATGCAGAGAAAGGCCTAAAAATATGCAGTTAATCTAAAAAATAATATATTTAACTATATACCATATGTAAATGTCATAATAACCACTTTCATGTTTTTGCTAGCCTGCAGTCAGCCCAAGCTCAGGTACTACTACAGGAAAGGTGTCTTACTGAAAGCAGGCAGCACAGAATACCCAAGAGGCAGTTCATACAGTACATGGTCTTGCTTTCAAAAACAGTGAGACAGAGTGCATGAGAATAGAACAGAGGGCAACTTTTAAAAGTTGAATAATTTTTTGATATGTTGCTTATAGCACAAGACACACACACAAAAGAACAAAAACAAAAAGCATCAAAGGCAAAAAAACAACAACTGCAAACCGAATGCAAAAACATGTCCTGTATGATTTCAGAATGTGTGCTACAGCAAATTTCACTAATGTTTAAACCAGGGGTGCGGGAATGTTTTCGGTTGGGGGTGCTGTGTGTGACCGTGTTGGGTGGAAGGGTGGGGTGGGGGGGGAGTTGGGGCAGGTTCACTTACGTCGGTGCTCGTGCTGGGGATGCCGATTCTGGAAAGTTTTTGCTGGGATGGGCATTTTAAAAAATCTGAAATTCGCTTTTGCGCCATTATCTCCTTGTATTAAAGTTAATCTTGTTCACATTCTGTACAGTTCATGTCTGATACCACGCGCTAGCGTCACGTGTTCATGAGGATTAGGCTAATCATCCCATATAGAAAACATCACAAGTAAAATTAATCATGTTTATAAAGATAAACATGGGTTTATTATAGCCCACTTACAATTTACATTTCAGAGATCATTACAAATAAATTATTAAATGCTAAAATTGAATAAATTTAAATGAACAAACTTGGCGTTGCATTTGCAACCATGTGAAAACAGGGGCTGCTGCAGCCCCCTCAGCACCCCTACTTCCCGCGTCCCTGGTTTAAACAGAAGATTTGTAAGATTTGTAGAAGCGTTGTCGACTAGTCCAAACATAGGAAACCCCCAGAAGACAGTCAAAAACATTGTTTAAGCTAATATAGACATATCTATTAAAATCAACTGAATAATTTGACAAACTCAATAGTCTTCTCACACTTCTTATAGAGGATGTGGGCATTAAGCCTTTGCTCTCATTCCAGGATGTTGTGAGTTGTGACAAAAGAATTTGACAGGGATATTCTGTTATCAATGTACCATACAATATATCTATATGTATATAATATATAAGAGTTAGGTTCTTCCAGGTGACCTACTTGACCAAAACGTATGCTAAAGTGAATAATCTTGGAGTGATTCTTTCTGTTAATGGTTGCAGGGCTTAAAGGTCTATGTGCGTTGCCAGTTCTAGACCCAAATGCAGAGCTGCATCCTGGAATTATAAAAAGATTTCTTATAGTCACTGTAAAATATAAAGCATGTACTTTTCAGTATGCTATAGCAAAGGTAATGTGGTTGCACCCTGACCCCGACAGAGTTTTCTTTGGGTAACCTATGGAGTTTGCACAATATTCAGACTGATTCTGCACCAGCGTTTCTACCATTGGAGTGCATTGCTGGCAGATGTGTACTTAGTGTTTCAACTGTGCAGTTAAATCAGACATAAGAGGGAGTATCAGTCATAATCCCACTTTACTCAATTGTTGAGATTTAGGCTTATGTGATTCAAAAAGCATACTAGCTTTTTAAAAATTTGTTTAATACTCTATTTTAAATACTGCACAATTTAACTAGTTAACTAGTTTGCATTCAATATTTTTGATTGTTAACAAAGTAAACATTACATCTAATTTTAAAACTCTTTATGCCATTTTGAAATAATGTTTGGGTTATTTTTCTTGAGTTGCTAAGTTTGTTTTGTTTTATGTATAATAAAGTTTTTTTTGCTGTAACTGTGTAATAGGCACACCAGGGCCAACTTTAAGTCATAAACGTATGAAAGGCCTTCACACCTTACATTTAACAGAATTTCAGCCATGCAAGTCCATAAATGCTGATGGATTCCTGTATACTTCCATATACAGGATTCTGGGCTTCTTTGGTAATATACCGTACCACTTCATGTTATTTTCAACATATATTTGGCAAACAGGATGTTCAGTGGGAGTTTACTGTTTACTATACTTTTCTGAACGACTCTTTTTATGCAGTGCTATTACAAACAGAATTCCTCAGAAGTCTGCCAACAAATCATAAATCAACAATCAATTACAAAATAATGTTGTTCATTACCATGGCAATTACTTGCATGTTCACAATGACCGTATATAAAAAAGTACCTGTACACATGAGAGGTGACAAGATCACATGAAAAGCTTGACGTGTACCAGCAACTATACATTATATAAGAATATTCTATAAGTTCTTTTTAAGTCATTTTTATTCATAATGTTCATGTCTACTGAGTGGACATTTGTCTGAGCCTGCCATAAATGACATGGAGAAATCTCATGAAAAATCTGAGGTGAAACGAAATAATTTTGCATTCTGATTTAGATACTTCATATCAAGGAATTGGAATCTTTGAAAAATTCAACATAGCCTTTGTACAAATGTAAAGCAAAACATGAATGCGTAAAAAATGCAATCATTTGGTATTTCCAATGCTTCAATAATGTTTATTCAAATAGTCATACATATTCTTAGTATGAGCAGTCCCTGACTTTGCCTCAGGCAAATAAACTTAACTGCAAAAATAATATATATTATATATATATATGCCATGGACTGTAGGCCAGTTATAAGCTTATATTCAAGGATATTGAAATAAAACAAACATTTGAACTCCAATGCTTTAACCATCTGTTACAAATATTTCTTAAATTATCCTTAATTATAATTAATATATTGATATAATTGATATAACCAATCAGCATATCTGATTAAATGTTTTAATTAATGGACAACCCTTTTAATATATAGATAAATATTAAAAGATTGTTTATGAAGTCTATTAGAGGTACAGAGGAATTGGCCATTTGAAGAAATTTTAACTATTGTTCAAGTAAATTTGTTTTATTTCTCTATTTGCTGTACATTAAAGGCACAATATGTAAGTTTTTTTATAAAAATATCTAAAAACCACTAGAACAGTGTTATATATTTTGCTGACTTGTGTACTTACATTATCCCAAATGTTTCGAAGAATGTTTAAATCCAGAGAAATAAGCTATTTTAACTAGTGACACGGAGCGTGTCCACAGTGTCATTGTGTCGCCTGCCAATGACATCATTTTGTAGAAAACATGGAAACATGAAAACACCAAAGACGCTTCAATATGTTGTGCGTTTTAATAGACCGGTGACGACCGCACAGAGTAGCATTATAACAGAACTTTCAAATATATCTAGTATGATAAAACAGCACTGCTTTTTTTCCCCACATACACACGACTGGAAGAAGCGGAAGCGGTCGACTGTGGCATAATAAAAGCTTCGCTGCTTTCGAGCCGTGCGTCACGCTCGTTCAGTGGCCTCATTTCACTTCGACAACTTCCAGCCTCACCCTGCTTCATTCTACTATGTTAATAAATCATTAGCTCATCCATGAACATGATTTCTGCCCGAGTCCCGTCGGATTGCATCGGCTGTGGGGATGAAGACTCCTATGATTCCATTTCCATTTCTGAAATTGTTTTGTTCAAAATAAATAATGGTAAATTAAATACTAGGAAATTAATATAAAATAGGAAATATACAAAGACAGTTTACTACAGAAAACTACAGTTCAGTTCAATTAACAACAACAGAAACATTAAAATGGTCCAAGAATTGGTAACTTAAACAGGGTTCATACAGATACTGCAAAATAAAATTCCAGGACTTTTAAGGACTTGCACTACTTTTTTGGTTTTCAAGGACTAAAATTTTGATCTCACTTATCAATCAATATTGTTATTATCTTTCAAATTCTAATAAATAAACTAATAAAACAAAATGGTACAAATAAAGTGCAGCACATACAAAGAATGCAATGACTGTGGCAACATTAACATTTGAAAGGATACTATGGCAAAGTTATCGCTTTCCTTATTCAAACTGATTTTTTTTTACCTGAAGAATGAAAGCTATATCATACACTTGGAAAATTGTGAGCTTTATCACACTCATAGGCACTAGGGGTGTGACAATACACTTAGCTCACAAGGTGAGACAAAATGCAGATACTTGGTTCAATAGAACGAGACAATGTTTTAATACTTTAAGAAATTTTCAAATGACAAAATATTTGTCTTTTAATCACAAAAATTAAAACAATGCAGTTGTATTTTTAAATGTTTTAACTAATCTACGGCTTAACTAATGATTATTTTGCTAATCAAGTAATCTACTGATTATTTTGACAAGTGAGTAATCTGATGTTTTTTACAAATAGAACTAAGTGAAAAACAGGCTTTAATATTACTATATTTATATATAAAGTAACGATGAGGCAATAATAATTGGCCTCAAATAAAGTATCAAAACCAATTACATGGTTTTATTGAACAACACTGTTAAATACATAATGTAATATGCCTATATTATAACAAATACCTGCAGAGGGCGCCAACGGCCTGGTGAGGTTTCATGTGATTCAACGTTTAAATCCATTTAATTTTAATATTTGGCCACATGCAAAATCAGAAACTTTTATTTTGAAATCGCGATGTACAATACATCGCATATTTAGAAATATGTTGATGTATTCTCCTGTGTTGGCATAGGTTTAAATGATTTACGTTACAAATCAAGTGAGTTTTCCCAGATGAATGTTAAGCAACCCAAACTCACCGCATATGCAGAGGAAGTGTTTAGACCCTTTTACACATACAGTGTACAATTTACTGGTAAATTACCATTAAGAGATCATGTGTGAACGGGACCTTTTCAAAAATACAGGTAAATGCATTCTGGCAATCATATCATTATTATGGAGATGACATGATTACTCTGAGCAGTTTTACAAAGCTCTGCTGCTTTTTAATAGCTTTTCTATGTAAATATGACGCTAGATGGAAATCTTTGACCATTGTGCCTTGCAGCTGTTTCAATGAGTCACGCTCGAGACCCAGGCTTCTTTTCCATTCATCAGCTGTGACTCTGCAGTTGGATACTATTATGCGCATCTTGTGTTTATAAGAGCAAAAATTTCTGATTGGCTAGTAATGTTAGTTTGGTTGAGAGTGAAAGCTGTGTTCTTCTCATACATTGGTAGTCGAACTCACAAACTCGAACGTGATATCAACAAGTGTTTTTAAATGTAGGACGACTATCTTTTTTTCCCCGCAGCCAAACGCTGCACGCCGGAGATCCGGCACGGTGCCGGAGAACTTTAAGCCCTGATATTGTGTACATACCTTTGGCATTCTGGTGGCCACTGGTGACTCCAGGCCATAATCTAGGCTGGCTGCCTCATTCTGCTCACAATACTGAGGCTTCAGTTTGCCATATCTCTGACTGCAGTGCCGAAGACTCTTCCTGTGCCATTGCTGCTGCTTGGATTCACTATCACTGCCTACTCCAAACCACTGAGCTGTACCCCTGTATTAAAAAAACAACAAATATACTTATTATAGCGCCACCTTCAATATGATAATGTAGATCAAACTGGATTTGTGATAAACCATTTACTGTATGATAATGTTGGTCAAACACTTAATCTTAATGATTATGCAAGTACAATTAAGAAATAAATGTTAATAATGACATTAAATACTGAAAAAGCTTTTGACAGGGTTCTACAGCCCTTTATTTTTGAAATTTGCAAAGCAGTTGGTTTTAATCAAAACTTTATTTAATTAGTAAATAAAAAATAAATACATATGTACATACAACGATGTTCTTTCAGAGAAATTTTAATTAATGAAGGGTACAAGATAAAGATATCCCTTGTCACCTACTTCATATATAGAGCCATTAGCACAGCGTATACGATTTAATTATTCAATAAAAGGTCTTGGAGTCGAGGATGAGGAACATAAACTTGCATTGTATGCAATATTGTTTTTAACATATGTAGAAAATTCATTACCCTCAGTATTAGAAGAGATAGATCTATATGGAGATTTGTCAGGTTAGAAACTACATTTTAACAAGACAGAATCTAGGAAATGGGGGTAAACTACAAAAGGGTTTTTAAAAGAAATATGAAATTGAATGGCATCAAACTTAAAGTACTTATGAGTAATTATTCCAAACAATGTAGAGAATTTATGAAGTGTAATTATGATATTTTAAAAACTACTATAAGACATGGTTTAAAAATACGACCTTTGTAAAATTATCTTTGTTTGAAAAAATCAGTACAATTAATATTATCATACTCCCAATATTCTTATTTCGGTTTCAAAATCTTCCTGTTTATATACACCTAGTATAGTATACATGGAATATTTGTTATACAGGTGCATCTCAATAAATTAGAATGTCGTGGAAAAGTTTATTTCAGTAATTCAACTCAAATTGAGAAACTTGTGTATTAAATAAATTCAATGCACACAGACTGAAGTAGTTTAAGTCTTTGGTTCTTTTAATTGTGATGATTTTGGCTCACATTTATTTTAGAAAATGTATTTGGGATGAAGGGAAACCAAGAATAACATTTAAGGTCTTACAAAATAGAAAATAAATAGGGGGTCTAGCATTAGCTAATTTAGAGAATTATTACTTTATATAATTATTATTTTATAGATATCCAAGTTATTTAAAAGATGACATTTAAAAAAAAAAATTCACCCTCAGTTCCCGGTGAATCTAACATCCCAGAAAACGTGAAATAGGACAACCCAGTAACTTTGTTTAGGTAAGCCTTTCTCTGCAAGCATGTGAAAAAACAAGCCACTCAGATTTCGCTCCCCTAGTGACGCAGGAAGGGGATCTTATTATAATATCAATGCCCCTTAAACTTAATCTTAAACATAACTGACTGTGTTTTTGTAACTTATGTGCACTTACTTTACTTTAGTACTCACATGTGACAGCCGCTTTCTGTGCACATGCCTCAGATGTGTGCACTCAGAAAACACTATCAGAAGTTTAAACTGATATGGCTTTAAAACGTATCAAAACCAAACAGATGTTTTTTTTGGCAGAGTATTTGAGGTATGAGCTGTAAATTCACAGCCCTATTCTGGTAAAGGGGGCGGGGAGCAGAAGCTCATTTGCATTTAAAGATACAGGCACAAAAATGCAAAATAGGCATGTTCAAAATGATATAATAAATGATCTGTGGGGTATTTTGAGCTGAAACTTCACAGACACATTCTGGGGACACCTGAGACTTATATTACATCTTGTAAAAAGGGGCATAATAGGTGCCCTTTAAGGTCTGTAAACCCCTCCCTTCCATAAGCCTACTCTGCTCTGATTGGTCAGCTGGCCAAGTCTGCTGTGATTGGTCTTTCCGTATACAATGCGTGTCGGAAACGAAACGACCATTACCATAATTAAGTTTTTTGCTCTGGAGGGTTACATGTAAACAAAGATGTTATAAGGTTACAAAAATGGCATCAATATTACCTTATTAATTCGAGTTCGAGGATGATACCGATGCAGTCGCTCAACCGGAAACTCAATCGCAATCACGACTTGATCAGGAGGTTTCTCAGTGGTAAGTTTAAACTTTGTATGTGATACTTTATGTGATGTGACAGCAGTTTTATTGCATTCATTATTATTATTTACTTATTTGAGGTGCACTTGTGGGAACTGTTAGAATGCCCAGTGAGGCTGAAAACATGGCGTCTTCTCGACATGATGTAAACACACTAACTAGCGGAAGTGTTTGTGGGCAGGTCAGAGTGTTTGTATTTCGTGGGCAGGTGGGGATTATGTAAATGTATTACCTTGTGATGTATATAGGTAAGACTCATTAAGGTGGTTCAGAGTCGACTCTTTCTTTTGAGAGACAATATCTTAATTTATCATGCACTTTTTTGATTAACAACTTTGCAGACTGTTTACATTGAAGGATAGCTACGTTACAAACTGCAAAAAATATATTTTTTAAAAACCCATATGACCTGCTCTTTAACAAAGTACATAATTTACATAACATTAAAGTTAAATGAGAAGTTGAGTTAGACCAGGGGTGTACAATCCTGCTCCTGAAAGGCCACTGTCCTGTAGCGTTTAGCTTCTACCCCAATTCCACACACCTGGACAACTAATCAAGGTCTTACTAAGCATACTAGAAACTTCCAGGCAGGTGTGTTGAGGCAAGTTGGAGCTAGTTGGAGCAGGACAGGGGCCCTCCAGGACCGCGTTTAGACACCCTCGAGTTAGGCAAAATAATGGAAGGGGATTGGAAACAAAGTTTAAAAGAAATTCTAAAAACCAATCAAATTTTTTTAAGAAACCAATTATAATAAAGATACTAAATATTAACTTCAGAAGTGTACGTTGGATGATTTTTGTCTTTTATGCACTAGAATATTCCAGAAAAATCCAGTATGTGACAGAAACTTCTAGAAAGTTATCATACTTGCAAAAGCAAAGTATCTTTAAAAATAAATTAATAAATAAATAAAAACATGCAAAAATCGTTCAAAAACTTATTTGTTTCTAAACCAATGTTTCATAATTAATGATAGAAGTTCTAAAATGTACCTGACCTAAATATTTACCAAAATATTGATGCGATATGAAAATTAATCATACAATAGTAATTAGCACCACAGAATTACAGAACCATAAAAAATTTAAGTGAAACAAATGTATTACATTGTGTTACTTCTCTTATACCGTCCTTCCTTCCATTTAATTAATTATTTATTTACGTATTTATCATTATTATTAGTAGTAGTATTTTCTTCCTTTTGATGCTGAATTATATTATTTTAATTATTTGTTTAGGCATTATGCATGGCTATAAGTGCTTGATAAATATATGAATGCAAATGTAATTTTTTGGAGAAAAGCACCTCATTATGTTGGTTATTGTTTCTATTTATGTGTTTTCTTTTATATATTGGTGGAGGGTTATTATTATTACAAAAGAAAAAAAGTTAACAATTAATGGGAAAAAATATTCTGTCTTTATAAAAGAAAATTATTTGTATAATGTATTAAAAAGTGACGTGACATGTGGCCAAGTATGGTTACCCATACTTGGAATTAGTGCTCTGAATTTTAACCCATTCAAAGTGCACACACACACACAGCAGTGAACACACACACACCATGAACACACACCGAAGCAGTGGGCAGCCATTTCAGCTGCGGCGCCCGGGGGTTGGGGGTTCGGTGCCTTGCTCAAGGGCACCTCAGTCGTGGTATTGAAGGTGTGAGAGAGCGCTGTACATTCACTCCCCCCACCTACAATCCCTGCCGGTACGAGACTCGAACCCACAACCTTTGGGTTACGAGTCCGACTCTCTAACCATTAGGCCACGACTTCCCCTTAAATGAATTATAGCGCTACCTAGTGTCTGACACATGCATGGGGGCACCTGAGTAGTGGATGAAATATATGAACATCCCACCAAGTTCGACATTTATATCACTTAAAGTCTCTAAGGTCCAGATTAAAAAGAATAATTGCCAAAACAGGCTTAATGTTTGGGCCCCTAAAAATCTACAGAAAAATATCTATGTAGTTGTTTAAAAGGGTCTTATCCAAGTACACCTTTAAGGTCAGGAGACATGTATTTTTTTATATAGGCTAATCAGTTTATTATTTTTGCCAGATAGGAGCTAAAATTAACTATCAAAACATTTTTGTTTTTGTTTACATGGGTGCTAACTGGGTTTGCCATATCTAAATCTGTTATTTCTGACAAACAATCTATATTTGTATCTTCACTTTAATGCACATTTTGTTATTTTAATTCAATAGTCCTTGTCTTCTGTTTGATAAAACTAAAACTTGTTTAAATGATCAATCTATTTCAATTTACCAGTTCTGTGTGATCACTGTATAATGCAAAATGCTAAAGTTTCTTTATGGTCTTATATTTCTAATTGATATTTAAAAAAAAATAAATCTATTCATCTATTTTTTTATCCACTCATTCACCTGTGATAGACAAGTTTACCTGCGAATGCTCTGAGAGAGTGACGTTTGCCTTTTGAACGTTGTTCTTCTGTCCCTTGTAGATGGACTGCTGTCTGACAATCCTTCACTTGACTGCTGTAGACTCTCACTTTTCTTAAAAGATGGCCGCAGGGACTATAAATCACAAACACTCATGCAATTAGGACCCACTAGACTATATTAGCTGTGTAGCCTCAAACAGCTTCAAACTAAATTCTTGGATATCTCTTAAAGACTTACAGTCATTAACCTACCTATTTAAAACATTCATTCCATGTGAACTAATAAGTCTGCAGTTCTGAATTCTAAAGTTCCTTTGCAGCCAGTCAAACAGAACTGAACATTTTCATGAACTCTTGCCATTTAACAATCAAGATGTACTTATAAACTGTTCATGAATGGTCTGTGGGCATGCCATTGGAGTGCAGAAAGAAGAAAATCTACCTTTCTTAACTGCTCAGAATCCGTGTATCATTTGTTCATTAGTTTTTTGATTTAACATTGAAAGTAGAAAAATGGGAAAACCGGCTCCTTTTTCTGTTTTTTTTTTTCATAAAATAAATAAATAAATAATAATAAAAATAAAACAAAACGGAAAAACAAGAATTCCGCTTAATTTTTTAGTTTTTTGTTTAGGGGTGGGAAAATGACTAAACAGCTTGAATATTCGATTTCTACACATGGGCGGGAATTAAACCCCTTTCTGCTGATTGGTCAGCCGAAGATTTGAACTAAATTAAAATATTTAATTTAGAAGTAATTAATTAATTAAACAAACTTACTGGGCGACCAGGGTAGGCTATGACAGCCATCATATCATACCCTGCCATGCCCAGCTGATGATGCAAAGCATAGAATTTATATCTACACAGAAAAAAAGCCCTGTAGGCTCTGCTCCAGTACAGATTGTGTCGAGCTATTCGTTCGTCTGGTTGTTTGATGAGAAAAAGATGAAATGTAGTTGCAATAAACGCGTTAAGAATTCGTACACCTGCAGCAGTGGAGGACTATTATTCTGCTGCACGGAACTGAGGAAAAACTGATGATGGCACGGTTTGATTTTCGGCTGACCAATTAGCAGAAAGGGTTGTTTAATTTCCGCCCATGTGTAGAAATCGAATATTCAAGCTGTTTATTCATTTTTCCACCCATGAATGAAAAACGAAGGATTAAGCGGAATTCTTGTTTTTCTTTTTTTGGAAAAAAATGAAAAAAACGAAAAAGGAGCCGTTTTCTAATTTTTCTAATTTCAATATTAAATAAAAAAACGAATGAACGAATGATACACGGATAGTTCAGTGTCAGCAGCTAACATTTTTATTTGACCGATATGGATAATCAAATATGAATATATTTGGTCTAACCCAGGAGTGTCCAAACTTGGTCCTGGAGGGCAGATGTCCTGTAGAGTTTAGCTCTTATTTCATTATTAATATGTTGATAACAAAAATATCCACCACACAATATCTGTTTTGTTTATTCATCCATATCTATCGATAAAAGTTCAGCATATAAGTAATCAAACCTTTTTTGTCCACATTTTGTAGTTAAATGCTAAAATGTTTATTTTTCACATCAGTCTACACTCCATACTCACAATAACAAAGCAAACAAAATTTCAAAAGATAACATAGAAAAAAATAAAAACAAAACATTTTAAACTAATATTATCTTGCATTGCTTCAAAACTAAAATTAAATAGAAATTATAGTAAAATATTTTCAGTTTTTATTTTTCAAACTGAAGACAAAAATGGCCCAAATCTTTTGCTCATATCGGTGTTTTTTTTCCCATAACAGTGTGAACTGCACAAATCTGCCACAAGCAACATGACATTTAGTGTGAGATATGTTAATCAGCTTTTTTTTTTTTACTCAAACCTTTATTTTGGACTCTTTTAAATACCTTTTTTTCAGCCTCGGGTTTGGGAATTGCAATCATCAGACTTGGTGGCTTCTTGCTCTTCAGCCTACTTTTTGATTGACCACTGTGACTGTTTGAAGCATCTTCTTCCTCAGATGACATCCTGAATCCGGTTTTCAGGTCTATTAAAAAATAAATAAATAAATAAATTTATATATATATATATATATATATATATATATATATATATATATATATATTAGAGTCAAAACAATATTTATTATTGGATGTGACATTTATGTTTTAAATCTAATGATAAATGAAATAAGAAATCTTATATGCACCATTTGTAATGATATTTCTATATAAACATTATTTAATGAGATTACTGAAAAATAAAGCATAGTCATCTTCATTAAGAAACCAGGCAGATAAAAAAAGTATATAGGAGGAAAGCATTAAGTCAAATCTTATATTTGCGTAAGTGTTTGAAGATAGTTTAGATGTACCCTTCACAACATCTCACAATCACATTGTATTGTGTCGTAGAAAGCCTGTCTGAAATAGACTTTTCACAACAACAACAAAACAATCATGACAATAACAAACATTCCTCTACTTTGATAGCAAGACATAGGAGAACTATACATAACAATATAAAAATTGACTAAGATAAGGTAAGCATCAACTAGGTCCATGAAGCGGAGCATGAGAAGACAGATAAAAGTTCTGTTTGAGTATACAGCAAGTCAATGTTTTTGGAGCTTATTATTTGCATTTCTGCTTTTTCACAAATGGTTTGACCTTGGAACGTTAAACTTTTCACACTTTGCTTAGTTCCGAGCAAAGGGTTTAACCTGTTCTCAAAAGTCATCATACAATATTCTTACAATCTTTTACAAATGTATTGTATCAAAGTTAATAGTTTGCATGCATTGTTTTTACATGCATTTTCTGATGTGTAATAGTACACATGACCTTACTACAATCATATACTTAGCTGTTATAGTTCTTATGTTCACAAAAATGCTGTTGCTATGGTGTCAGTTCTGTTATTGTGCTTTGGAATTGAATTATCATGTCATCATGCTCCAAATGCTGATTTTAAATTCCAAATAGCTCCAGATCATTTAGAATGTTCTGTGCTTTTTGTGACCTACATATATGTGACCATATAATCTGGACACTGAATAAATAAGCTTTCCATTGATTTATGGTTTGTTATGATATGACAATATTTGGCTGAGATAGAACTATTTGAAAATCTGGAATCTGAGGGTGCAAAAAAATATGGTAGGAAATTTACAAAATATCTTCATGGAGCATGATCTTTACTTAATATTCTAATGATTTTTGGCATAAAAGAAAAATCTATAATTTTGACCCATACAATGTATTTTTGGCTATTGCTACAAATATACCCCAGCGACTTAAGACTGGTTTTGTGGTCCAGGGTCACATATGGCAACACAAAAAGTGGGCCACAGACACAGCTATAGAACAGTTAGGAATGGATAAGTCTACTTAAGTCTATATTAAATTATGTCAAGAGGAGTTTAGCTGTTTGAAAAACGTACACTGATAAGATAACTTTATTGTTAATTATTAACTTAACTGCACTAAATGTTTTTATTAAAATAAAAATACAGCTGACTTTTAACCTTACATGTTCATAAAAGGCAATATTATGCTTAAAAATATATACTTTTTTAAACTCAGAGTATGTTATTTGCCATTTTCTTTAGCCACTACTGTTATGAAAAATAACAGCTGAATTACCTCCTATGTTTCTGTTAAAGGCACAATATGTAAGCTTTTTTTTTTTAAATATCCAAAAACCACTAGAACGGGGTTATATATTTTGCTGACTTGTGTACTTACATTATCCCAAATGTTTCTAAGAATGTTTAAATCCAGAGAAATAAGCTATTTTAACTAGTGACACGGAGTGTCCATAGTGTCATTGTGTCGCCTGCCAATAAATGCAAATAACCCCTCGATTTCTGGTTTTGTTTTGTAGAAAACATGGAAACACCAAAGATGCTTTAATATGTTGTGCGTTTTATTAGACCGGTGACGAAGGCACAGAGTAGCATAATAACAGAAATTTCAAATGTATCTAGTATGATAAAACAGCGCTGCTTTTTTTTCCCACATAGGCACGACCGGAAGGAGCGGAAGCGGTCAACTCTGGCGTAATAAAAGCTCCGCTGCTTTCGAGCCGCATTTCGCGATTTTTCAACTTTAGTTAGTCTGTAATGTTGCTGTTTGAGCATAAAAAATATCTGCAAAGTTACAAAGCTCAAAGTCCACTTCAAAAGGAGATATTTTATTTAACAGAAATCACTTTTCAAAAACTACAACGAATGACTCGTTTGGACTACAACGCATATTTTCCGGGATTTGTGATATCACAAATATCGACGAATGGGACGAGACTCTAGCTGCACTAGAGAAGGCAACGAGTGTTATCACTATGTCGGAGACTAGCTAGCTTTCCCAAGGCAGACGAACTTAGAGTGATTACAATCATCCGGGTTTAAATCGCGCTCAAATTGATTTGCTTTTGACGCAATATTTACACTGAAGCTGGCAGCAGCTCTCCTATGGTAAGGAGGATGACATTTCCCGACCAGGCGCCAAGTGCTGCCAATCACAACACACACTGGCCCAGCTAACCAATCACAGCACATTTCGTATTTCAGAAGGCGGGCCTTCATTTGATACAGGAACTATTCGAGCCGTTCATGCCAGACTGGGGAGAGAGGTGTTGTAATAATGTAAAATATGTGAAAAATAATGTGTTTTTCGAACAACCTAGTATGAGAGCCTGTTCTAGTACACCCCCAAAACAAAATCAGGACTTTGTAAAAGAGCATAATAGGACCCCTTTAACGACAACAAGAATTTTGTAATATATACATATTTTTGATACATGCAACATTTTTTATATATGCAACAACTGCAGAAAGATTCAAACAATAACATTAACAACAACAGCCAGATTTCAAAAAAACAAAAAAACTAAAATTTTGGTTGGTTGGTTGGATGTTATCTGCATTTACTACATTCAAATAAAGCTTTGACAAAAAAAGAAGCTTTTTTTATTTTATTTTTAACTTTTAGAATGCTCAATATGCATATTTTCCTTCAACTGGTTAAAATGTATAATAATGCATAAAAGCTTGATTCTTACCTCAATTCATGTAATATTTCCTCATCACTCAAATTTTAAACTGCCTTCTGCCATATTTTCTTACAAAACAAAATCTATGCCTGCGCCTGCGAGAGGGGACTTTGGTAAGACTGCTGCTAACTTTGCTTGATACTGGGCAGTATTTACTGTGAGTTTTTCAAACTGTAGTAATTGGGCTAAAGGTTCTAACACAAAAAATCTCATTGGTTGCTTCTGTCATCTCTAGTCTGAGGGCTGAGACAGTCTCTTGCTGCCACCTACTAGTGTAACAATGTAATTGCACAGAGTGAGAGCTTGTCACCTTAAGGGTTGCAATTATGTTCAGTTTGATGTAGGTCAGTAGCTCCCAATCCGAGGGTCGCGACCCCCACTAGAGGTCACTAAAGATTAACAAGGGGACGCCAAGCTTTCCCTGGTTTAGGGATGCTCATTTCGGTTAATTTTCCTGACATAATAGGATGGACAGAGTCTGTGACTCATTAAAAATACACACGCACACACACACACATATACTGTACATATATATACAGTGGGGAAAATAATTATTTGATCCCCTGCTGATTTTGTAAGTTTGACCACTTACAAAAAAATTAAGGGTCTATAATTGTTATGGTAGGTTTATTTTAATGGATAGAGACAGAATTCTACGAAAAAATCCAGAAAAAACATTTATATAAAGGTTATAAATTTACTTGCATTTCAGTAAGTAAAATAAGTATTTGATCCCCTACCAACCTGCAAGAATTCTGGCTCCCACGTGTTCCACTTGGGTTACGTGCCCAAGTGGAACACAGATTAGTCCTGTCACTTTAAGAAATTACTCCTAATGTCATCTTGTTATAGTATAAAAGAAACCAGTCCATAGAATGTGTACCTTCTATTCAAACCTCTCCCACCACCATGTGCAAGACCAAAGAGCTGTCAAAGGATGTCAGAGAAAAGATTGTAGACCTGCACAAGGCTGGAATGGGCTACAAGACCATCAGCAAGAAGCTTTTTGAGAAGGAGACAACTGTTGGTGTGAATATTCGGGAATGGAAGAAATACAAAATAACCATCAATCGCCCTGCCTGGTGCTCCATGCAAGATCTCGCCTTATGAGGAAAGCATGGTCATGATAAAGGTGAGGGATCAGCCCTGAACTACACAGGAGGAGCTTGTTAATGATCTTAAGGCAGTTGGGACAACAGTTGCCAAGCAAACCATTGGTAACAAACTACGTTGCAATGAATTTAAATCATGTAGTGCCCGCAAGGTCCCCCAGCCCAAGAAGGCACATGTACAGGCCCGTCTGAACATCTAAATGATTCAGAGAAGGCTTGGGAGAAAGTGCTGTTGTCACATGAGAACAAAATTGAACTCTTTGGCATCAACTCAACTTGCTGTGTTTGGAGGGAGAGAAATGCTGACTATGACCCCAAGAACACCATTCCTACAGTCAAGCATGGAGGTGGAAACATTATGCTTTGGGGCTGTTTCTCTGCTATGGGTACAGGATGACTTCACCGCATTGAAGGACCGATGGACGGGGCCATGCACCGTAAAATTCTGGATGAGAACCTCCTTCTCTCAGTCAGAACACTGAAGATGGGTCATGGATGATGGATCTTCCAGTAGGGCTGGACAATAATTCAATATCAATATGTATCGCGATATAATTGTTTTCAGTAACGGTGATATGATTTTTAAACACATTTCCGATATTTCGATATACATTACCAGTGTTTCCCATACATTAATTTATTTGTGGCGTTTGACTTCGTTGAATAAACATGAGCACTGCACGTTTCAAAATCAAAACGCGTCGCGGGTGTTTTATATGAATGAATCTCTGAAGGGAGCCGACTGTCTTCAGAATAGTTTGGATGGCATTTTTATCTGATAAGTACCGTTCATGAGTGGAGCTGCTTTGTTTACAGCCATTACTGGAGAAACCGCTAGTTCCACCGCTCTCACAGCGCCTCCTGCTGGCAGACAATCAGTTTG